ATAAAAGTTACATTAGAAAATATTGTAAAACTTCCAAAGCTAAGCATCTCTTCAAGTGTTAATTTAATTTTTGTTGAACAGACATACATTTCAAAATTAAGACTAAACTAATCATTATTAAGTCTTACCAGAATTGTTTAGGTTTCAACACATATCAATTTGTTTTTCATAATAAAGCTATTTTAATCCACATTGTAAGGTAATTGTTTTTCTTTCCTTGTATATTTGTGTTATTATCAGGGACGTCATAAGACTTTTTAAGGCCTGTGGGCTCCTACACAAATGTAGGTTCCACATGTGACCCTTAAAGTAGACAGTACATAACATTCATACATTGTCAAAAAAGTAACCCGAAACAAACAAATAAGCATGATTTACAATTGCACAAACCAGCTCGACCGACTGTCGCCTTTTAACTGAAGAAGTAATGATGATGTATGGTTGTAAGCCTTGGCCTATACATGGAAAAAAGTTATCTCGTGTAGCCAATTGACATATCATCTGAAAATCCCAGTTTTTAGAAGAATACAACCGAGAAAAACATTTGATCGTTGAAACTATTTGAATCATTATCTTATTAAGGCTGAGTCGAGAAGGAGACAAGGCCCTCTTGTGGCCGAGGACCATGCCTTAAGTTGTTTTATTTCCATTTAAAATTATTTTTGTTGTTTTTCTATTTTTTGAATATTTTATGAATTACTTTTTGCAATTATGTATTGCGTATTAATGAATATGAAACAAGCCTCTTTTTTTTAACTGTTTATGTGTCTTGCAATACTGATTTGTTGTTGTTGTTAAGAAAGTATTTAAAATAATATTTTACTCACTTTGAACATTCTTTTGCAAAAATGGTTGATATTGAAAACTAATAATTACTGTATTCATTAAAATCTAAGCTGTACTTTTTCTAATGTTAATGTTACTTAAAATCAAGTGCAATAGAAAAATTCATTGGATGAGCAGTTAGAGCAATTACATGTTCACATATATATGTAAAAGTTTTTAATACTGATAAAAAAAAAATTATTTAACTCATTTCTTATCAGTTCTCATTTTAAATTTTTATAAAATTTCTTAAAAGTTGCTTATTGATAAACCATTTTACACTATTTTTTTTTTATCTTTTCACAAAACACATTGAGAATTTTGTGTGTGGCTAAAAATTGATGGCAGCTTAGATTTGAATAAATATAGTAAATAAAGCAAAACTAAATTTTGTATAATACTGTTCGTTTTACAGTACTATGTTTTATAAACATACAAGGATAATCTATAAAATAAAGACCATTAAGTTATACAAAACAAAAAACTAAAATTTTATAAATTTAATCAAAAAAAAATTCTGTTACATACTTGAAGCTTCTTTCACTTTTATACATAATTACTGCCTTCATTTAAACATTTGCCATATTTGTTCATGAGTTTTAGAACTCCCAAGCTATACTCTTCTGCCACCAGCATGCATGAGAATATAGCATGGCCATATAAGCCAGGTGGACACTGCATTCTTCATCTCCAAAATGTTTACCACTCAGAAATTATTTCAGCTTAGGAAAATGATGGTAATTGCTAGGCCCAAAATCCAGGTTATTGGTCTTTAGTTTGAATGCAGTGAATATCTGTCTTAATGGCAGCAGAACAGTAATTACATGGAATTTCTGAAGCTTGTGAAGAAATACAGTAAATCTAAATGTTTGAATGGGGTGATTCTGTAAAGAAGGGAAGGAAGATTTAGGTATGTAATAGTAACAGAATTATTCTTTCCAATAAATATTGTTTCCAATTGTTGTATAATTTAACAGTCTTTATTTTCTAAATGACCCTCATATTTTGAATGATACTCATTGATAAAAGTTAACTTAAATATTTTTATATTGTCCAATTTTAAATTAGTACCCTTTATAGGTCAAATCTTTGACTTAATACAAATTGTAATTCTCATCTAAAAGAATAATGCGTATTTAATATGTCATATATAATGATCAACAAAATACTATAGCAAAAATCTGACAAAAAATAAAAATAAGGAACAAAAGTGCTTGCAATTTTATCACTTAGAAAAATGAAGATATTTATTGTCATTTGGAATCTCTCTTTATCTGCTTCTTATTTTATTTTACAATGCACAAATAAAAATATAGTGATATTGTTAAGTGATAAAATCTCTTTTAAATGTAATTCTATTTTTGATTTTCATGCAGATTATTTTATAATACATTTTAACTTATTTTAAAGGTTAAGTATGTTTTGGAATTACTTTATATATATGGATTATTTATTAACTATTGGTTTTGATTGGATTAAATAAACTTAAAAAGAGAATATGGAAAAATAATCTTTGTTATATAACTTTATAATTTTATTTTTGTTTAAAAACCTTTAATATGGTAATTTTATAAAAAAGTTTATATATATATATATGAGCTAGAAATGTATTTTCCCCCTCTCTTTTAGGAAAGATGATGATAAAGATTCAGAATTTATGGTTCCTAAAAATTTAGAGCTTCAATTAGACGTTGCTGCTGTCCATCCAAACGACATGATTCAACTTCACTATTATTCAGAATATCAGTGGTTGCTGGACTTTTCCTTATGTGCATTAATTGTTTATGTTGTTACAGAAGTATATTATTACCTGATACCAGCCAAGGATGAAGTAAATCTTAGCGTATTGTGGTGTATACTTGTTGTAGGCTTTGCAGCGTATCCTTTCATCAAAAATTTAATTAAAATAATGCTTCATTTTATTTTTATAACTTTATACTTTTGTTTTTTGATGAACTGGGTTAATAACTAATGTTGAAAGAAAATTTTAATTAAATATTATTTTTTTATTTAAAGTATATATTATGTATTTTGAATTAGTTTTATTGTATAAGAAAAGATTTATTATTAGCTGTACTCAATAACTATACTATCATTTGTTAAAAGATATAACTGTTGAACAAAATAAAGAATGGCAATATATTTTACCTCCAATTTTAGTGTTCGAAAGTATTCAATTATAATGTTGTTTTATCTAGAACTTGGTTTTTTTTAATATATGAGTAGGTTTCCTTAACATGTGTTTAATACTAATGAATTGATAATTTTTTAAAATTTTTGGTATAAATATACTATTTGTGTTACAATATCTAGAATATATTCATTAAAGCTTCATACACGCGTGTTGTCGTAAACTTCTAAATATTTCTCTAAAATTTCTGAGAAACAAAAAAAAAAAAAGAATTTCCCCCAAAATTTATTTATTTATTTTTCTCAATTTTGAAATTTACAAGATACCAATGTTTTGGTTGCAATCATTAACTAATGAAATATAAACCAGAAATAATTTCTTTGGTGTGATGTAGTGCCTTTTGTCTTCCTGGTTCTTTAAGTGAAATAAATTCCATATTTGAATTAAAATGTGAAACTATACTAAACAATTTTTTCTAATTATGGTTTTAAATGTTTTCTCTAATTTTATTTTCCTCTGTTCACTTTTTCCAACTGTTAAATTAATTGATTGTACAATTTAGAATTATGTGAAGAATGTGCAACCTCCATATGTTATTTGTTAGGCCTTCGTAGAAGCTAGATTTTGTATTGATATTCACTTATTTAGGTAACAACACAGTTTAAAAATTTGTAGAATTAAACAAAGAATGCTATGAATGTAAATTTCAGTAGTTTACTGGTGGGGATGACCAGTGGTATATTTCAAATGTTAGAAAACAATGCAGTGAAAAACAGCAACACTCCCAGACATGCTTCCTGATTTTTATGCAAAAACTATTTCCTTAATATTAATGTTCATAAAAAGAGAATAGTGACTTGGCATGCTTTCATTGTAATACTTGTTGTCTTTTGTATAAAGTTCGATAATTCCTGTGTTTGTTTCCAAGTATTCGTTTACTTTCAAGCAAGAAATAAATGCAAATATTCTGCAAACTTAAATCTTCCATTGGATTGTTAAATTATTTTTCATTGCTATGTTTCATAATTTAATATAATTTTGTATCGTCTTTCTTTATAATGTAATAAATTTAATTATGATACTTATATATATTATATATGTTTGTTTTTCTTTTAAGTAATATTTAGCAAAAAAAAATTTAATAATTTGAAATTTATATATATGTATATATAATCATTCAATGGAAGAATGATAGTTTAGTATAAAAATGTCAGAATTTATTGATGATTGAGTCTTTTTGACATTATTTACAAACTATATAGATATATAATTAAAGCAACCTTTAATGGTAAAAATGTTCCCACCTCTGGTTTATAATATCTTTTTACTCTGATACTTCTGAACTTATTTTCTAACATATTAAAATCTGTTACAGAAAAATATTCTTTAAAATAAAAATAAATATTTTGGAAATTTTATAAATGTATTATCAAAGTTTGATAGTTTAAAAATATTTTGCTTTAATAAATTCTAACTGTGTAGTTTAGTAATCTGTAATAATTAATGAATTTTGTGCTAAATTTACATGCCACTTAACTTTCAAAACAGTAAAATTCTCTTGTCACTCACTGCATTATATTTCCGTGGAGAAGAAGCAGTAGGTGAAAGATCACTATGTTTAACTGCTGGATTTCTGTTCTTCTTTCTTGCCATGATTGTTCTCATAGCTGATGAAGACTTTTTAGAATTTGGACTAGAACCTGGTAAGTATTCAATTCATTAAAATTTATCTAAAAACAAGTAATATAAAAAAAAATTTTAGGGGGAGCAAATTCTTATTTTGGTCAACAAAGAAACATTTTATTTTAGTCACTTTTTTATTAAATAGTTACAATTAATTTAAATATGTATATGCATATGACACAGAATCACAATATTAAGTGACAAAATAGAAAGCTATTTTCCTTGCAATTTTTCATTTTCATTTCTATATATGGTGTTGGACTATTTTTTTTTTTTTGTGTACTATTTATTCATTCATTAAATTTAAAAATTCTAATAAAATAGTATAGTGAAAAAGAAATCACAGTCTCAGAAATTAAGCTATCCCAGGAGGGGATTCGAATCCACGATCTTTGAATTACAAGTCCAACACACTATCCATTGTGCTACAGGGACACAACGAACAATTTTCCTTTCTATATATGCTGTTGAACTATTTTATTTTTGTTTACTATTTATTCACTTTTTAATATAATTAATGAATTATTATTTGAAAAAACTCTATTAACATCAAGTGTCATCCACTACAAGTTTTAAAAAATGTATATGAACTTGAATGGATCAATAGAAAGTATTTTATTAAAGATTGAAAATTTGAACAAGATATATAAACAAATATATATACAAGGAGAGTGTGAACTAATAGTAGAAATTGAATAATACTTGAAACAAAAAAAAATATTTAAAATTTTGTTATTAAATGTTTATAGAGGTGGTGGAATACAGAAAAGATTTAAAAAATAGTAATAAGTGTGATTTTTAATGGCTTTTGGATTTTAAAACTTTTATAATATCTAAAAATTTTGAAATGATGGCAATTAGCATTTTGAATACCTCATTTTGATTAAAGTATAAAATTAATAGTTCTCACCAAAACCAATACAGTAACTTTATAAATAGCGTTTTTCCTTCTCTTCTGGCTGTGATAGCCTAGTGGTCTATGGCATGGACTCATGACTGTGACATGTAATAAGTTTGAGCCTAGTACGACTGAAGGCCCACTGTGTAGAGGGAGCTGATGCATGTTAAATCTGTCAGGCTCAAAACTGGTGTGATGAGGAAGTTAGGAGAGGGGGTACCAGTTCAGATGTCATCCTCATCACTTGACCATGGTTCGAAATTATGAGGTCTGTTACCAATAGCCCTCATACAGCTTTATAGTGTGACATTAATGCAGCTCTTTCCTCTTTTTCCTTATTTCCTTTTAGGGATGTAAGTGCATGTTACATCTGTCAAAGCTTAAAGTTCTTAGATTAGTGTAGTGTTGAAATTTCGAGAGCAGCTCAGGTCGCATTTACTCACTTGACCATGATTCAAATTTAAGAGATTCATTGCCAATAATCACAATGTTTCTAAGTATGATGTTAATAAACCCATGTTCTCATAGGGGTAGTAGAAAAATGCCAGCTGTTAATATGTTTAGTTATTGAAATCCTTGGATCAACATGTACAATCTCTAGATACATTTTAAAATCGGGAATTATTATAAAAAGGATTAATCAGAGGTATACAAAAACTGGGTCTTTACCATTATAAAATATTTTATAATTACCTGTTTTTACATCTATTATGTGGGTAAAGTAACATATTAGTTCCTAATAAAAAGTTTTATAATGTTGTATTTTAAAGTTTAATAACATTCATATTGTAAAGTGAAGTAGATACATATATTGTACATGTGAGGCAAAACATGTGTCTATCAAACAATTTTTTTATTCCGAGTGGGTGGTGTAGTTGGTTTGTCGCTGGCCTTCTGCACCCAAGGTTGGGGGTTCAACCCCGACCCAAGTCAATGGATTTTCATGATGCAGAAAATCGACAGCGGTCATGTATGTTTATGCGGCATGTAAAAAATCCCTTGAAGTGCCCATTTGGCTTGGGTGCTCTCGGCAAAATTAAATTCCTAAGTTCAATTTCGCATCATCAGAGCTCAGGTGCCTCCATCTGGGGAGGAAAGTGGGCATCAAAATTACTTGCAGCAATTGGTGTCGCCTATACAGTGCAGCACTAAAAAGTGATACCAGCTCCTGGGGAATGAACTAGGTCTGCGGAGGTAAGAAATACCAATAAACAGCCCCATTAGGAGAAAAAAAAAATTTTTAAAGAAAGAAATAAAACTGTATAATAAATTTTTTGATATGTTCATGATGTGATCATTTAAAAATGGTCTAGTGTAATATAAATTTATTTTTTAAACAAAACCAGAGAAAGCTAATTTCTGAAAAATAATTTTAAAATTTCCATTGTATGATCTGCTACATTAAGATAACTTATATTACAAATTGCTTTGATTGAATTCTGTTTTTATTAATTTGTATTATTTTTTCAAAATATGAATGAAGCATGTGTTTTGCCAATTTTTATTCATTGCTAGAAATCGTTTCTAAAATTTCTTATTTTTATTGCTAGTTTATGAGTCGTAGTAATATAATGATTTTTCTTTTTACTTAAATATTGGTAAAACAATATTATTTAAAAAATTTAAGTTGTAAGTTAATTTCAGAAATTAAGTGGTTATTTTTATATGGTTATGGAAAATGTAATAAATTTTTATATTAACATTAAGATATGCATAAAATTGTTTTGAATTAAAATACTCAATGGCATCATTCTTTGTTGTAGCATATTCAAGTTTTAATGCCAGTGCTCATACATTTTTAATGGATCAAGGCTTAGATTCTAGGTAATAATTTTTGCTATTTTCTTCATGAATTAAGGCGATATGGTACCATCTTCGCAATTTTTTTTATTTTTAATATTTGATATTTGGTTTTAATTGTATTTCATAAAGGTTAATATTAAACAATAATTCCATACAAAAAAAATTTAATTTGTTGCAAAATGTTTGTTAAATTAAAATTTTTTTAGCTTTTTTAAGCATTTTTTTAAACCCCTAATGCTTTCTTAAATATGTCTCTTTTTATTCAAAAATTTTTTTCCAAGTACCTTATACTATACTACAAAAACTGTGCATGGGTTTTTTTCTGCTGCTGCTCTTTAACTTTTTATTAATTTTTTTGTAGTTAAACTCCCAAAAATTCTCAAAACATTCATTTTGATTTTTAAATTTTTTAGAAAAAGTGCTAAACATGTTAGAGCTAATTTCATGCACAGTTTTACAAAACATACATTTCAGAACATGTATAAAAAATTTCAAACCCATACTTCAATTATCAAAAAAGCTTTAGGGTTTTGAATAACAGTATATGTACAAAAATTCAACATGGAGAAATATGAGTTTGAAGTTTTCATTCCATGAATAGCAAGATATAATATTCATTGAACAGTCTGAAACTTTTATGAACTGTTAATTAGCTTATTTAAAACTACTTACCATAAAAAATTGTTCAAATGTAGAATAATTAAACAGTATACTGCCATAATGAATACATAGAAAAAAACAAATGAAAGATCAATATTTCATAAAACTTTATCTTAATAATTATAAAAAAATAAATACACACACTTCAGAGCTAATGCACAACATGTACAAAAGATGTTTATGCTTTTATTTTTTTATTTCCATGATTTTAAAAGCCTTCCCATGTTAAATATTGTACACGAATAAAAGCAAAATCAAATAGCAATTTATAGGTAAAATACATCAAAATCTAAGAACTGTATATATGCATTTACTTAAATAAATATCTTAAAATATTTTAATAATAAAAGTGTTGAATCTCGCACACATGAGATATATGTTTATCACCAAAAACAAATATATAAAAATGGGAGAGTTTTTCTATTCTTGCGAATTAGATTTTTAATTATCTGAGCTATCAAAATGAGATTTAGTATTTGTGCTTTGGAAGAATCCTTTTTCAAGTTTTAATTTCATTCATAATAATATCATAAAAACCACGCACACCTTTTAAATCTGGACCAAATCCATTTGATCTTCATTAAATAATTCACAAACTAGAATTTTTGCATGAATTGCACAATTCTTTCTTAAAATGATTTATTATTGCATATATGATGTCAATCTCATTGATGTGCATTAGAAAAATAATTAATTCATTTTTTATCAGGCTCTTTTCTAGCAGATAATCTGAAATGTAGGCATGGTAGTTGCTGTTTAGCATCAGACATTGCTCCATTACTTAATGAAAAATGCAGGTAAAGCTTTGAAATTTTGCAGGCATATTTATAAAGGTTCAGGGTATAAAATAAGCCAATAAAAATTTTTCGACAGTTTAATGATTTTTAGGGTACCATATTGCCTTAAATAAGATAATCAAGAGGTGCTTTCTTTTTGTTTCTGTTATACGGTGATTTATGACTGAATTATAATCTGTTACCAGTCTGTAAACATAAGTCAATTATACAGTAAAAAAGTTAACTAATCCACATTAAACTATAATGTATGTGTTTATGTGTTTAATTTATTTACTTTATTGGCATTAATTTGCTTACTTCACCAGAAATGAAATTTCAGAATAATTAATTTTTTTATTGGTGAAGAAAAGAAGAAATACATGTATGTTTTGATAAAAAAATTATTATCGCTTTACATTAAGCTAAACAATATTGGTCTGATTACATCCAATTGGGTGTACATACAAGATATTTATTGCAGATCATGATGTAAAAGATGTTAAGATAATTAATAGAAAATGGGAGGTAATCTCAACTTAAACAATGGTATTAGTTTTAACTCTTTCATGCTTGGTGGTACATATATTGTACCACCAACTCTTATCTGTTTATTGTTTGGTGGTACATAAAACATACCACTTGTTTGAATGCTTCAGAAATTGATGCTAGAGATTGTACATTCTCTGAACCACCACTCCTAGCAGTTACTCAACTTTCCAACAGATGTCAGAAGCTAATTATTTGCAATGGGTTTATGCAGTAGTTCATATTCAATCAGCTGTTAGACTGTTGAGTGGTACTTTTTAGAAGTGTTGTGTATTTTTAAGTGTAAATGAAAGTGTGTGATTCTTGTGGTCAATATTATAATAATTAGTACCTTGCATGTGCATTACTAGTTTAAAAATATGAGAGTCCAACAAATGTACCACCACACTATTGAAGGCCATCTTTACAAATACAGAATGCATTCTGCTTATTTTTTCACAATAATGGACATATTTATTGTGCCAGATAGATTTGTTGTATGTTACATTTTTAAATAATAATAATATTTATTAAACATACAAATTTACATGAAAATCCTGAACGAGCTATAGCTCATGCTCAGGAAAAAATAAATACAAATAATACACTTATTATATATGTTGACTAAACAAAAACTAGATAAAATAAAATAATGTATAGAATGAATATTTAAAATTATAAAACTAACATTAGGTAAATTAGGACTAAACTGAAATTAGGCTTACAACATAAAATTAGGGAAAACTGAAAATTTGTTGTAATATATAGGATAA